CCCTCCCACGGCACACACTCGTCCGGCATACACGCGCCTCTTCTACCGCCCACGCCCAGATGGCTTGCTCCGGGGTTCGATGCAGCCCCTCCACGCCCATGGCACCACTCCTCCCCTGTCTAGATTCTCGTTGCGACACCGCTTCCTTACGAAAGGCACCAACACGCTCGACCTCCTTACGACAGGAATTTTCCACGGTGGCTGAACGAATCACTTCGCGCACCACGGCCCCCGGCGGCAAACATCTTGAAGCACGCATTTGAGTCACCATTGCAGCGAGTGTGGCAAAACTGTGCAATTTCTCCTGTTATTTCACACTTCCAAACAGAAATGTTTTAACCTTGCTGTGGTAACCCTTTCGGGTCCACTTCGACCCAAATGAAATTTTAATTTTTTGTACATATGAACACTAGGAGGCCGACACCGTAGTCCTGACAGCTGAACTCCATTTTTTTTTCAAAATTTCTCAACGATACATTGCTATCCCCCGAAGTGCGTGTGCACCCACGCACAATTTTCTCAGCGCAAGCTCTTTGCACCAACCCGGCTCGTGCGAGGTCTGCATCCACTTTACGCTGTTGGGGGTAGTGGTTGGGTCACACAGCACAGTGTGGTTTACAGATGCGGGTGTTGCATCCCCACAAAGGCCAATGGCCCAGATTTTTGCCTGACCACAACTTCCCGACGACCAACCCGGAAATTAAAAAAAAAGAAGCAGCCGAATTATGTACATCAGGTGCTTTTTTGTGTTTGCTAATACTTCTTTCTGATCAAACATCTTATCTTGTGGATAAAACACAATTTACATGTTTTTGGAGTGTTTCTATGCGTCGGCAATGCAAATTATTGCCTAGAAAGCATTTTTTAATCCAACTTATACAACTACATATTGCAGCTCAGACATTCGGAATATATCAGTAGTTTATTAGATCAAATATGTTTTATATTGTCTTAAGAGCTTATTTTAGTTTTGACGTAACCTCGCCCGGACACTTGGTCAAAATGAAAAAAAGGTCTGATTCTGTTACGGAAAAATCTTATTTTCGTGAAAATATAGCAGGAAAGAGGGATTAGAATCTAAACATTATATATATTGACCACCCCTACAAACCCAAATGGACAAACAACAATTTCAAACATATCATAAAGAAAATGAAATCACCCTTTTGAAATTACAAACACACCTTTTAATACTTTTAAATGATGAATTCTTTCAAATTAGCTGCATTCTATGAAAACCCGTGCACGGTAATTATGTGCTTGCCAGCAACGTTTGTAAAATATTAATTTACTTTTCCCAATCACCAGAAAACAAATGAAATTATTTCTTATACTCTATTAAATTTTCTCAGTTCAGAATGAGTGCAAGTTTACACATTTACTGATAAAATCTCATACCTATTTACAAAAGCATTATATGAATATATAATAATATGAATATATAAGCATGAATTTACTAAAGCATTATATATGAATAAAACGTACTACACGGATTTCATGGTCCCTTTTTGCGGTTTTCACTCGTAATATTGACCGAAACGAAATTAACTTGATTAAGCAAAATTGTTAGAGTTAAGTATTTCTTCGCCGCTCTGGCGAGCTCGCAACACCGCCCTAGGTTCCGGTTGGAAATTCTGTTCACCTTTTCGGCCGCGCTCTCGGTTGTACTGACCTCTGTTCTGTCGTCGCCGCCGTACGCCTGACCTTGACCCAAATCCTGGCTGCACGGTCGCTCCTTCGCAGTCCAGGCGTCCGCAATGTCCCTCGAAAGAGCTGTCTTCGTGTTGCTGCATTCAAAACCCACGTCCACTCTTCTTCTCGCGATTATTCACACCCGGCACAAGAATCCACGTATAATCTTCCTTCTTCGCTACACTCGACTAGCAGCACGCCGACGGGTGTTATAGAGTCTTACGCGTAATTGCTAGCGTCATATTTCGGCGTTCTTTGCAACACTTTGAGCTTGTGTTGTTTAATACACTGTTCTACGCCTTGTAATAGTTCACGGCCCTCGTTCTCGCGGCTACTATTCTTCCTCGCCCTAAATCTTTCCACTAGTTTCCGGAGTTTCCATGTAAAGTTGTATTGTGTCCAAAAAATACAATTCAAATTATTGGATTTTCGCCGCTCTATAGCTCGCTTCTGAATATTTAGCACTCTCTTAACTTAATGGATACATTCTCTTCACCGGCCTCGCTCTTGGCACACGTCCTAACACTTTGACGACTTTTGCAAAAATGGTTACTGGTCAGTTGCCCGACCTGTCCGGGAGGGGTGGCATGACGCCACAGCTGACCCCTTCGCGCTTGCCACGAACCGCAAGTCCGGCGGTCGAGCCGCGGGCGGCAGGTACCAGGTCGCGCTGTTTCGCATCCGTATCAGTGGTGTGCCTGTGTTACGGGGACCCGTCATGGCGTCGCCGAAGCAGCGTGGGGTTTGTGGGGGTTCCGAGCATGATGCAAACAGCTCATAGTTTTATTTTTTGATAGACGAACTAGGTTTTTGAATTGTCATTAAACCCAGTTTAACTGATTTATGTGTTATTGTTATTGGATTGGCTCTCAACACCCCAAAAGATCCCACTGCCCTGTGATATTATTAGCTCGTAAGAGCACGATATCTGCGAACCACCTCAACGGGTGATTCTATGGAAGTCATGGTTGCAGTAGGAAGGGTTTCGTATATAATATTTTGTTTCAAATCACTGTGTTTCCTGCAGTATTTTAATGAAAAGATTTTTGGCTAACAGAATGTTAATAAGACTTTTTCAATTTGACCATAATTGCAATCCACGCCATCACATATCACGATTTCTAGGGCGACCAAGGTTAAAGTGGACCATGAACCTAATGTAAATAACTTGTAAGGAAATAAATTTAAAGAAACAATGGAAAACTACAATTGCAGTATTATAAAATTTATTTCTTTTCTCTTTGTTACGAAACACTGAGGAACTAATGAGAACATTTTTCTCGAAGTGAAAATGGACAACGCTTGCTAATTTGCAGGCACTGAAGTTAGATACGAAATCAAAAATTCCGTATCCAATACCATTTTTATGAAAATATTGAAATAATGAATATCTTAAAATTATTTTTCACAGGTTTTGTTTAATTTTTGGTTATTGGAACTGTAGTGTTAGAAACTGCAATCGGGGAATATTTAAGTGTTCTGTATCAATGTGTTATGCAGGAAAAGCAAAATATTATACTAATTAATTCTTAAAAAATAAAAAATGCACGTACCTTTAATTAGTTCTGAGACAGTCTCCACGTATAGCGTGACGCTTCAGTATCCGATGTGTTCCAGGAGTAATCACCTAATAAACTGGGTGACTGTCTCCCCTTATATTGTTTTTCCAAAGATTCAATTCATTGGTCAAACAATTATTTGACCGTCGCTAACGGATCCCAGGTTAGAGGTAGAAACGTCTAAATACAAATGTAAATAATGTTTTTTGTGAAACATAAAATCCTATGGCTTCACATATTCTAATCAAGTAACAATATTTTTCAATTCGTACTTCATACTTCATTGCCTCCTAAGCTCATTTTTTTCAATCTCACAATAATTCTTCAAAATTGGGAATTTTTATTGACTCAGAGATCGGGGGGTCCATGAAAGTCGCTTCATTTACTTTTTATCACAAATTTCATGAATTTCTAAGGATGAAATTTCATTTGTATGTTTAAAAGTCTTCACGTGTCTGTCTATTGATTTTTCTCAATTTTTCATTAACCTTCATTTGATGTGCATTAGAGGCCATAAGATATTGTGGCAGTCAGCTAAGGATTTTGGAGTGAAAATGTTTTTTCTGTTACATGACATTCTCCTAAAGTCACGTGTACGGTCTGTACTCAAAGGTACGTGTGGAGGACTGTAATAATCTGTTTTTACAAAAGTACGTTTTTTGGACGTAACGATATCATTAACCAATTCTTAAACACAAAACTAGCACCATAATTTTGGTAATTCAAAATGGGTATCAATGCTGTAACTCATTTTGATTCTGAATCAACCATTGCTTTAATCTTTCAATTACAATAATTTGAAACGGCTGATTTCATTAATCACTTTTCCAAAAATCTGGGAACGCCCCGCTGGTCACGTCGAGTGGCTCCGCGCCCAGGCAGGCAGTTCGAAGCCAATCTTCTCAAGATGCACATCGTGTTCAGCGACGGACTCACTTTTTAAATTCATGTGTGAGTGTGACTGTATCTGTCTGTGTAGTTTAACGTGTGTATTAAATATTGCAACCGCAATCCTCTGAACTGTGTTACTAAAAAGAAAGAAAGAAAGAAAGAAAAGAAAGAAAAGAAAGAAAAGAAAGAAAAGAAAGAAAAGAAAGAAAAGAAAGAAAAGAAAGAAAAGACAGAAAAGACAGAAAAGAAAGAAAAGACAGAAAAGAAAGAAAAGAAAGAAAGAAAAGAAAGAAAGAAAAGAAAGGAAAGAAAGAAGAGAAAGAAAGAAGAGAAAGAAAGAAGGGTAGAAAATAAATAAATAAATAAATAAATAAAATAAATAAATAAATAAAATAAATAAATAAATAAAATAAATAAATAAAATAAATAAATAAAATAAATAAATAAAATAAATAAATA